GCTGCAGGCTGGGTGGGCGGGTCAGTCCTGCAGAGGACCCCAGCAAATGTCAGGAGCAGAGGTGACCACCTGCTGAGGCTGGAGTCTGCGCTGGCCTCCCCCTGGAGCCAGGACTCCCCAACCCCAGGACCCACGACCCAGACCAGTGGTGCCTTTGGGCCAGCTTTGTCTCAGCTCTCCAGGGAGGGGCACTGTGCCCCCAGGTTCATGGGGGTCCGTGCAGACCCACCTCTGCCTGCCAGGGGGCCTCAGGCAGCCCCTGGTCCTCTGAGCCACTTCTGACTCAGGAGGGCGAAGACGTCCACCCCTCCCCTGCCCTCAGTACCAGGCCACTCAGGGAGCCACGGCGGACCTGTGTCCAGGCTGAAACGGACAAGCCAATCTAATTACCACGTTTCCTCGGAGAACCCTCGGGGACACTCACCTGTGCCCACCTGACGCCGGAGGGCCACCCCTCACCCGCGCTGAGCGAGGACAGGGCAGGTCTTGCACCGTCATGTGAGCCCGGGTCAGGCTTTGCCCGGAGGTCGTCCGTTCCTGGGATTTCACTCGCTGTTCAAGTCAGCTTTTCTGTCAGCCTCCTCATCGCGCGGAGGCCGCACAGCAAGACCCACGCCGATGGCACCTGGCCACCCTCTCCCCGCTGGAGAGGGGCCCTGGGCAGGGCAAGGGCAGGAGGAAGCCCTCGAGAGCCCATCACTGTGGCTGGAGTGAGGGCAGACATGGGAGCGCCCTGCCCTGCTGACCCTGCCCGAGCCCCACGCCCACAGGGCAGAGCCATGAGGAAGAAGGAAGGAGGCTCGGGGGCGGCGAGCTGGCAGAGACTCATGGGGTGATCTCTGTGTGCCTGGCAGCAGGGCCAGGAACCTGGGAGAGCCCGGCCGTCCTCCTGCCCTGGCCCTGCCCCAGCCTGGCTCCTGGGTGTGGCCCGCTCCTCTTCATGCCACCTCCTCCGGCACAGGGAGAAGCCTGGAGCCCTGCTGGGTGGTGTGATGGGGACTGTGCCCTCTAGCTGGACCCCGGACATGCCCACCTGTCCCTGTGGGGATGAGAGGCCAGAGAGAAGGAGGGGTCTGTCTGCTGGCTTGTACCGGGACTTCCCTGGCAGGGACCCGGATGCTGTGCTGGCGTCAGAGACCAGGCTGAAGAGGAGCGCCGTCAGGAGCTCAGGAGGAAGGGCAGGGCCTGCAGTGCCTGCTCCCGGAGCACGGGCACCCCGAGGGGACACCACACAGCAGGCCCCCTTTCTGCCCCAGGCTCCGGTGGCCACAGTGAGGCAACATGGCCGTGAGTCACTAGAGAAAAGCAGGTGACCACTGGGGACTGCCAGGACGATGCCACTAATGAGCAGCAGCCCAGTGCCTGGGGGAAGGTGGGAGCTGGCAGAGCGGCCGGAGCCCCCATCGTGAGATGGGGTGGGCCCCGTCCACTTGGTGGGCACAGCCTGGAGGGCTCCTGGCTGCCACACTGGAAACGGAGAAGCTGCCTCAACAAAAGGGGGCATCTGGGGACCGCAGAGGCCAGGGAGCAGTGCAGGGCAGCCTGGCTCTGCACTCGCCACCACAGCCGTCTTCCGTCCCGGCCGTGGGGCTCTGGGGTCACAGGCTGAGGGACAAGAGCCGCGGCAGACATCTGCGTGTGGAGGCAGAGAGGGTGCGAGCTGGCCCAGGAGGCCCACCCAGGCCAGGCCTGCGGTCAGAGGCTGATGGGGCTGTCCATCGCAGGTGGCCGAGGCTGCCCGGCTCCTTCCCAGGAGCACGTGTCTAGGTGACAGGGTGCCTGCAGGCCTCACTACTGTCACAGCACTCGGAACGCTGTCCAGACAGCCACTGTCAGCAGCTGCGGAAGCCACAGCCACACCAGGCCCTGGGCAGCAGCTGCCCTCATGGCCACCAGAGCGTTTACCCTCCAGAACTTCCTGCATTCCGGCGGGGCGCGGGCAAGGCGTGAACGTTTATTTTGGCCCAAAGGCTGTCCTGTGAACTGTGCCCAGGACAGGCCACCCGTGTCACACGCAGAAGGTGCCATGCGTGTCTCTGGAGTCACAGCCAGCCCTCTGCACCGTGCCCTCGCCCATGCCAGGCACACTGTGACGCCTACTCTGGGGCCCCTCCACGGGCCTGGCATGGGGAAGGCAGTGCGGGGCGGGCAGGGCGCTAGGCCGCCAAATTCCCTGGGCTCCAATCCCTAAGACTTCGAATGTGACTTTGTATGGAAACAGCAGCTTATTTTTTTAAAAAGCCAGAGACCATGTTCGTGTGAGCATGTGCGTGTGAGAGACAGACAGCACCCCACCCCCAACAGGGCCTGGCCGTGCCCCAGACCTGCTCCCCCATTCCCCACTCAGTCAGGGTTCTGGGCATTGCAAGCCCCTTGTATGTTTTTCTTTCCTTTTTTAAAGTTTCTTTTATATTTTATTTTTTAAATTTTATTCATTTATTTTATTTTATTTTGAACAAGAAGAGAAAAGAAGGGGGAGAAAGCAAGCTGCCAGGTCTAGGACTTGAACTGTGATCAGCCGTGTGGGAGTCCAGCCGCCTTAACCACCATGCCACATGCTGGCCTCTTTGTATGTTCTTCAAGCCACTGGGGTTGGGACTTGATCCCTGGCTGGCCATGTGGGACCCAGCCTCCTTGGCACAGCCTTTAGGCACTGCGCTACAGGGCTGGCCGGAAGAGGACCTCAGTGGGTAACTAAGCTAGTTACTTGGAGGGAGGGAGGTTATCTTGGATCAGCTAGGTGAGCCCTGAATGTAACACACGTAAGCGGGAGGCAGAGAGTTGCACAAAGGAGACAGAACGTGGCCGCCGAGGCAGAGGGCTGTGGTCGTAAGCCAGGGGACACAGCGGCTACAGGAGTGGGTTAGCCCAGGCAGCCTCTGCGGGAGCGTGGCCCCGCTGACAGCCAGCTCGCCCCTGCAGCCCTGCATGCCGGTCTCCAGACCCATGAGCAAACACACCTGTTGTTTTCAGCCACCATTTGGGTGTGATCTGCCAGCAACCACAGGAGACCACTGCAGACGCACCCACGGCGTGGCCAGGCAGGCGGGCCTGCTTCAGGAGTGGTGGCTCAGAGAGCCAGTGTGGGGCGAGAGTGACGGGCTGGGTAAGTCCTGGCCTCCACCCTTACGGCCCCAGAGACTGGGCACGTCCCTCAGCCTCCCCAGCGGGGAAATGGGAGGTGATGGCATGTGTCTAGCTGCGGAGCTGTGGGGAGGGCTTTCTGCCACCGGGAATCTGGGTGTGTGTGTGGGGAGGGTGCCCATCATCACCCTGCAGGTGTTGAAGCCACGGCAACCAGAGGTGGGGGAGCGGGAGCTGAGGCGCCTCCATCTCCCCCTTCCCTGGACCTCTCTGGTCAACAGCTAAGCAGGTGGTCACCTCGGCGCAGGAGTGTCAGGGACGCCTGACCCTGGTTCCCTGGGAGATGGGAGATGGCTCCCCAGAAGTGCATGGCCCTAAACTCAGAACTGGGTTGATGAGGTGGGTCCATTCTAGTCCCGCCTGTGTGCTGTCCACACGGGGGGACAGGGCTGCTCTCCGGCCACCAGGTGACGACCTGGTGAGCCCAGCAACACGCAAGCGTGCAACACTTGGGCCACAGGGACAGGTGAAGGGGTTCCGCCGACCAGCCCCACAGCCAAGATCCAGCCAGAGTGGGACGTGGGGTCTCACAGACAGTGGGGCTCCCCTTGGGCTTTGTCTAGTCTGGCTCTGCTCGGAGCAGGGCGAGTGCTTCGCGAAGCTGCCGCCGCTTCGGAGAGCTGTCTGACGGCATTTCCAGCGTGCGTGTGCATGTGTGTGCATGCGTGTGCATGCGTGTGTGCGTGTGCAGGCCTGCCCATCTTCCTGTGTCCAGCTTCGCTTGTTGGCCTTCACCCACAGGAAACTTCTCAGCCATGTCCACATTCTTTTCTCCGCCTATGAGGTCCTCCCACTCACCAGGAGCCCCCACGCAGCCCGGAGGAGCCCTGGGAGTGGCCTCTGATGACCAGGAGCCCCCACACAGCCCGGAGAAACCCTGGGCTGGCCCCTCTCTGGTGCCCTTGTCTGTGGGCAAGGCAGTCACGTGCGGGGGAGGTGGGCAGGGGCCCTGTGGGCTTGGACTGGAAGGGAGTGTCTCAGGGACGAAGGGGTTCATTCTGTGACCAGGTTACAGGGAGCGGGTCAGCAGCTCCGCCAACCGGCACAGCCGGCACTCGGCACCCACAGGACGGTGAGGCAGGTGCCACCACTCCCCACCGCGGCCAGGCCGTCAGCTGCCCCCCGGTGAGGAGCCTGCCCCACCTGACACCCTCACGCAGGCTGCCCCGACCTGCACTGGTCAGCCTGTCTGGCCAGAGCCTTTAACTCCAGAATGTCTACAGTCCTGCCGGGTCTCGGGCAGCCTGCGTCAGAGGTACTTCCGAGAGCCCCTGGAAGGCCAGACCCCTCCGGGGAGCCTGCTTCTGGTGTAGACAACGTTTTCCAAGCTGTCATACGAGTGAGGATGTTGAAAGACCCTGGAATGCCTGGGACCCACCTGAGGCCCGAGCAAGGGGGCCACATGGGATTTCCTCTCTGGCTTCCCCAGACCAGCAGCGAGGGCCACACTGCTGACAGGTCCCAGCGGGGCTCAGGGACGGAGGACTGGGGACACAGACCTAGGGGCTCACGGCGGGCTCTGGGCTCCCCAGCCTGGGTCGCATAGGCCCAGCACCTCCCAGGGGGGCACCTCTGCCTCACCAGGTTCCACCCCAATCCTCTGCCCGGCCAGGGTGCCGTGCTTCACCACCTAACAGGCGCAGACAGGCCCTGCCTTCACCTGCCCCCGCTCCCAGGAGGAGCGCCCAGGCCCAGGACAATGCCAAGAGGAAGTCCTCAGACCGGGTCAGGGGCCACGGGCTTCCCAGCCCACCGCCACAGCAGGAAGTTGGTGGGGCCCTGCCCACTAGCTGAGCAAACAGCTCGCTTTCCAGACGCGGGTATATGAACCTGCAGGTGCAGGCTCAGGGAAGTTAGACCCAGAGCGCCCACCGCCCGCTCCACCATGAAGCTCGCCGCTGCCTTCCCGGTGCTCTGCGTGGCCCTGCTCGGGGCCTCCGGTGAGCGCCTCACACCTGAGGCCCAGGCTGCGTGGGGGCCCCTGGCCCCGGCTCCTGCTCCAGCCTGACCCCGCCTCCGCGGCCCCGCCCAATCCCTGCCTCCTGCGGGTCCCTCCTGGGTTCCCGTGCCCCAAGGCAGCTGCGGGTGGCCCCCTTTGCGCTGGCACCAGGCCGCCAGACGCCAGGCGGCTGCGGGTGTCCCCCTCTGCCCTGGCTCCAGCCTGCCAGAGCCCCCGCTGATACCTGCTCTGTCCTTGGCATGCCCTGAAGGGCACAGCTGCAGGTGGCCTCCTCCGGGAGCCTGCCAGGAGCCTCCTCCGCACAGTCCCCCAGCCCATGCCCTCTGGCAGCTCGCTCAGCGATGGGCAGCCGCCGGGGGGTGCGCAGGAAGAGGGGGCAGGCAGATGGCCGTGGACAGGGCGAGCAGACAGATGGCTGTGGGGGCAGACAGATGGCTGTGGAGGGGGAGACAGACGGCTGTGGGGGGGCAGCCGTGGGAGGCACGCAGGGGCCTGGGACACCCCAGCGGGTGGGCAGGCTGGGGTCGCCTTGTCACAGGCACTGCCATCCCTGCCCTCTGCAGCTGCCGCTTTCCTCGTGGACTCGCTGGCCCAGCCCGTGGCCGCGGTGGGCCCCGTGGCGGAGGCGGTGGCCACGGGCGCCGGCAGGGTCCTGCCGCACTGGAACCCGCTGGAGTTGGTGCTGTCCAGGCTGGGCTTCCCCATGGAGCAGCTGGCCCAGAGCTGCCGGCAGTGCGTGGCCGAGCTGGGCCCCGAGGTCGTGAAGACGCTGCTGGTAACGCCCCGGGTGCACGTCCTGTAGCACTAGTGGCCTTGCGGCCATCAGGGACACCTCTCAGGGAGCAGCCCGGCGCCCTGGGGATACCTCTCAGGGAGCAGCCTGGCGCCCTGGGGATACCTCTTGGGGAGCAGCCTGGCGCCCTGGGGACACCTCTCAGGGGAGCAGCCCGGAGCCCTGGGGACACCCCTTGGGGAGCAGCCCGGCGCCCTGGGGACACCCCTCAGGGGAGCAGCCCAGAGCCCTGGGGACACCTCTCGGGGAGCAGCCCGGAGCCCTGGGGTGGCAGCGGGAAGGGCCCTCGGGGTCCACGGGGTCCCTCAGGGAGCAGCCTTGGCCCTCCTCAGCGACACTCCAGCGTGACCTCTGTTCCAGGCGGCCCCGGCACTCTTCGGCTGAGCAGATCGCAGTGCGCCCTTCCCGGATGCAAGGGCCGACCACGGCCCCGGCACCTCCCAGCCCCCCAATAAAAAGCATTGAGAGTAACCGTGGAGGTGCCTTCTTGCTGAGTGCCAGTCCTGGTGGATGTCAGTCACTGAAACTGAGGTTTCTGGCAAAGATAAAAGCAGGTGCAGGGCTGACAGGTGGTGTGGTGGTTGAGGTGCAGGACTCCCACATAGCCAACAGCAGATCGATACCTGGAACTGGCAGCTCGCTTTCTCTCTCTCGCTTGCTCACTCTGATCAAATTAAAAATAAATAAAACAAAAATAATCATTTTTTTAAAGGGGGGGGCAGGGCAAAGGGGCCAGCAGGTGACGTGGTGGTTAAGGCACTGGACTCCCACATGGTCAACCGTGGTTCAAGTCCCAGATCTGGAAGCTTGAACATCACGCTGGTGCATGCAGGTGTGCTCAAGATCCCGGGAGGAGAATGGGTTTTGGTGTGGCCTTCCCCACCAGAAAGTGATTTCTCACTTTCCCTCTCTGTCTCTCAGCAATCACACATGCCCTATGGCACAGAAACAAAACAAAAAAAGGTGCAAGATCTTGTAAGTAAGATCTCAAGTAGGGGGACCAGCAGATGGTGTAACGGTTATGTCACGGGACTCCCACATAGTCAACTGCAGTTCGAGTCCTGGACCCAGCGGTTTAAAAGTCACACTGGGCGTGTGTGTGTGTGTGTGTGCGCCCAAAATCCTGGAGGGAGAATGGAGAATGGAGAAGGGACTGCAGTGTGGCCATTCCCCTGAGGGGTGATTTCTCACTTTCTGTCTCTCTGTTTCTGTCTCTCCAGTGAGTGCACACACCCTATAGCAAAAAAAAAAAAAAATCTCTCTTAAAAAAACTCAAGTAGGAATTAAGATGGTAAGATCAAGTGCAAAATTTAGGGCTTCAGGTTAGAACTGAAGAATAATGGGGCCAGCTGGAGGCACGGTGGTTAAGGGCACTGTACGCCCACATGGCCAACTGCTGTTCGAGCCCTGGACCTGGTGGTTTGCTTTCTCACTTTCTCCCTTTCTGTGTTTCTCTTACTCTGTCCCCCTCTTGTGTAAAGAAAGGGGAGGGAAGGGGGAAAGGGAAGAAGGAAAGGGTGGGAAAAAGGAAGGGGAAAACGAAAGGATAGGAGGAAGAAAGAAAGGAAAAAAAGAAAGAAAGAAGGACAATTTAGAAAAAAAGAATTGAAGCGTAATTATCAACACCCAATGTATTTTATCTTTAGGGAAAAATACCTCTTCTCTCTGTCCGCTGAAACTAACTGGAAATGGACCTATCCTATTTGGGGATGACAAAAATGTCCCGAAATCAGTAAACTAGTTACTACAGCTACACACATTAACACGAATCTCAGAAACACACCGGGCAAATAAACCAAGTCACAGAAGAAACAATACAGAACAATTTCATTCGTTGAGGTAAGACGCACACAGTAGAGATTTCGTGTAGTCACTTTGTATTAATTACAACCAGTGTCTAATTTCAGGGCAATTTGATCACCCCAAAATGAACCCCAGTCACTCTTCTTTGGAGAAAGGTCGACTCAGACCGTCTGCCCATGGTAACTTGGGCTGCCTTCCGTTGCTGAGTTCTAAGAGCTCTTCGCATGTCCGAGGCGAGGCCCGTCAGACCCGATGGGCGGACACCTGCTCCCGTGCTGTGGGCTGTCCGCCGTCCTCTTCCGCTGAAGCACCCGTGTTTTAAATCTGACGTCCAGCTGACCTTTTCCCTTTGGTCGTGTTTCAAGGTCACTATCTTAGAACTATCGCCTCTCCAAGGCCATGCAGACTTTATACCTGTCCCTTCACCTGCTCCACGGTTTTAGTTTTACTTTTACATTTACTTTAAAAACCAATTTTAACTTCTGTATGGGGTAATTTTTGCTGGTGCATATTTAGCTGTCTCCGTAACTCTTGTTAAAGACTGTTCTTTCTCCTAGTGAGGTATCTTAGCAAAAAGTCGACCAAGTATAAAGGTTAGTTTTGGGGCTCTCAATTCTGTTTATCCATACGCTTACAGGTCTGCCTTGTAATTATTTTTCCTTTCTTTTTTATGCCAGAAGGCAAAAGAGACAGACAGAATATCCCATAATAAAGTCCAATCGCACTTCAATCTTTTCCCTTCAAATAGCTGATGCAGTCAGACCCTGGGCCTGCATGCGCACACTTGGTCTGCTTTCAAGCCACGGGGACTGTGGTTCTAACCCTGGTCAGCCATCCGGATCGCTCCCTCTGCCCAGCATTTAACCTCTATACTCCAGGGTTAGCCCTGTCGTCAATTTCGCAGTCAGGAAGTTTGGGTCCTCCAACTTGAATTGTTTGGCTATTGGGGTGTGGGGGGAGTCCTTTGGGTTTCATTCAAAGACTAGTCTCAATTTTTCCAACAAACACAAAGCCAGTGGGGATTTGGGGCAGAATATAGATTGAAATTGCAGACCAATGTGAAATATTGCCATCTTAATGGTACCAAGTCTTTCGATCCATGAACATGAAATATCTTTCCACTTATTTAGGTCTTCTTTCATTTTTTCAGTGAGGTTTTGTAGTTTTGAATAGGACAAGTCTTGTGCTTTTGTTCAACTTGCTGGTATCTCACTCAATGCTATTGAAGATAATCGCTCTATCATTGGACCATCCCGTGCTGGTAAATAGCGGTGCAATTGCCCTGTGCGTACGGACCTCGGACTGCCGGCGCCGAAGGAAGTATCAGCGCTCACGGATTGTTTTGGGATCACTTAGGCCTTCCACGGATGAGACCACGTCATCTGCAAATAGTTGTTCTTGCTCTCCACCCTGGGTGCTGTTTTGCTTTCGTGCCTAGTTTTCTTGGCTAGAACTTCCGGTAAATGGTGAATACGAGCCACAGAGATGGACGCTGTCTTTCCGAAACTTGAGAGTAAAGCCTTCAGGCTTTCACTGTGGAGAGCCACGTCCACTGTGGGTCATTTCCCAGTGCCCGTTATCAGGCCAAATTCGTTTCCATCCTTTTCTTATTTAAAGGGGTCAAAAAACGTTGCCAAGTGATCGTGATCCGGCCCTCGTTCTGACGCAAGGTATTACTCTGGCTGGGGACATGGCCGGTCACCCCCACCTGCCCCTTCTCTACACTGCCGGGTGCAGGGTTGCCAGTGTCTGCGCACCTGTGATATTAGCACGTAGTTTTTCTTTGCAGTATCTTTTGTTTTGGGATCAGGGTAACAAAGCCTTTGTAGATTAAGAAGTGTTCCCTGTTAGATATTTGACATTTGTGAAAAATTGATATCAATTCTTAAATATTTCATAAAATGCACACGCTTTTTGGCCTTGTGCTTTTCTTCCCATATAGGTTCTTTTCATTTATTTACTTCTTGAGAGATTTTTGCTATAGGCCGCATGTGCTTGCTAGAGACGGAGCTACTGAGAGACAGAAAGCAAAACATCACCCCTGGGGGGATGGCCACGCTGCAATCCCTTCTCTTCCATTCTCCTCTCGGGCTCTTGGGCGCGCACACACACCTGGCCTGTTTTTAAGCCACCGGGACCCGACCATGTGGGAGTCCAGCGATGTAACCTTATGCCATCTGCTGGTCCCTATCATTTAGCTTTTTTCAATATTAAGTCAATTTCTATTCTATTTTTTGAGATTTTCTCTTCAGTTTTCATAATTCTGGCTTTCTAGAGACTTACCTGTTCCATCTGCATTATCTAATTTACTGGCGCATTAGATATGACTGACTGTAGTAACCCATAATACTCCTTCCCGTTCTGTAAGCTTGGTAGTAATGTCCCCCTTCACTTCTAACTTCAGTAATTTGAGTGTTTTCTGCTCAGTCTACTTAAAGGCTCATCAATTTTAGATTTTTCCAAAGAACCGCCTTGCGGTTGTGTCTCCCTCTTCTCTAGCTCGCGCCTCCGCGCTGGCCCCGCTGCCGCCCTCCGCCTGCCTGCTTGCATCTGCTTTGCTGGTCTCCAGCGTCTCAGGGTGAGGGCTATTGAGTTGAGATCTTTTCTCTTGTAAGTGTCTGCGTTGTACCTACACATTTCAAGTGCTGCTTTCCCTGCATACCACATTGGAGAGATTTTTTTAAATTTCAAACTATTTCCTCGTTTCTTTTCTCTGTCTGACCCACTGGCTACTTAGGAACTTGTGAGCGGCTATATATTTCTGAATGTCCCTTTATTTTATGTGCACGACAGCTTTTTCCTGCCTTTTACACTTCAGCCTGCTTCTACCTGTATTTAAAGTGTACGTATTGTGGGGCTCATTTGCCTTTAAGCCAGTCTGATCTTTTGTTTAACCCGTTTATATCTGATACTGTCGGCATGGCTGGTTTATAACTGCCTCCCGCTGGCCCCGCAGTTAGCAGTTTTTAGGTTGGAAAACAAGTAGGGGCCAGCAGGTGGCGTGGTGGTTAAGGTGCTGGACACTCCCACATGGCCAACCATGGTTCGAGTCCCAGACCTGGTGGCTTGCTTTCTCACTTTCCCTCTCTCTCTCTCTCTCTCTGTGTGTCTCTCTCTGGTTAAATTAAAAAAACATAAATGAGTGGATAAATAAATAATTTTAAAATGTTTGGAAAAAAAAAGAAAAACAAGTAAAATTTGATGGATTTGTTAGTGTGTTGATACATTTAGGATTTCCAAATTATAAATTACTCCTTTGCATTTGATGTTGCCGATAGACACGACACAAGAACCCATTACTCCATACACTAGGAGTTGGGTTCACTAGGAGTTGCTAGGGTTCAGTAGACCGCTCTCAAAGAGAAAGATGAATTACGTGAATGTGGATCCAAATGTTTTAAAAAGTGCTTTTCAGGGGAACCAGCAAGTGGTGTGGAGGTTAAGGTGCTGGATCCCAAATAGCTGGCTGTGTAGTTTGAGTCCTAGACCCGACGGCTTGGCAAACACACTGGGTATGTAAGTGTGTGTGCCCGAGATCCCAAGAACGGAGAAGGCATTGCAGCGTGGCAATCCCCCTTGAGTGCGATTTTTTTTTCACTCTCTCTGGAGTGCACATGCCCTGTAGCAAAAAAATGAGAAAGTTTTTATTCTGTAAGTAACTGCTGTCTCAACTGAAAAGCTTCCATTTTTGTAAAACATTTTTAGTCTTTTTCTCATAACTTTTTAAACAAACATTTTATTAGAAATAAATTTTCTACCATATCTCCATTTACTTACTTACTTACTTATTTATTTATTTATTTATTTATTTATTTTTCTGTGTAAGAATGTAAGCCCTTGGGACTGGTAGGTGGCATGGCAGTTAAGGGCACTGGACTCCCACATGGCCGACCACGGTTCAAGTCTCAGATCTGGCAGCTTGCTTTCTTACTTTCTCTCTTTCTCACTCTGTCCCTCTCTGGTCAAATAAAAATAAATAAATAAATAAAGTTAAGTAAAATAATTCAAAAAAAAAAAAAGAATTTAAACCCTTTTATATATGGCCCAAACTAAAAGCTCAGATCCCATTATAAATCGTTTAGAAACTGTGTGTGTGCTCACCAGAGAGAAAAAGCAACCCAATGGGGCGTCTCCCTCCTCTTCCCCATCAAGGGTACCTCGGGCCACACACACTGACTCCCGTGTGTCCAAGCTGCTGGGGCTGAGACTAGAACCCGCATTGGCCATGTGGGAGCTCCCTCGGCCGTCCTGAGTGGCAACTCACCCCGCGCACTTACACGACAAGGGGTTTCCTTCTGCTCTGCGCTGCCCTATCTGTGCTATGCGCCTTGCAGCCCCTGCTCCCGCTCGGGGCAGGCGCTAGCTCTGTGCCCCCCCTAGTTCTGTGTGAGGATGGCTCTGTAACCGAGCACTGGTTACACCGGAGAAGCCATCTACAGTCAGGTGTCGCGCTGGGTCCTGGTGCCGGTCCCCAGGCGCGGCGACCCCTCTGGCCGTGTAGAAGACAGATCGGCCGGTGCCGGGGTGGACCAAGGCCGACAGCGCGCATAGGTTTCCACGCTGCCCGCAGTTGAAGGGAGCTACCGTCCCAAACAAATGATGGAGTTAATTAACAGCACATTAAACATTTTCTGCCCGAGAGATGGACAGAAAGCACTCCACATCGGAACGGCCACGTTGCAACCCTTTCTCTTTCACTGCTGCCCTTTCGGGACTTTGGACACGCACACACATACACCAGGCTTTGCTTTTTTTTTTTTTTTTATAGAGGTTTTCGCTATAGGGCATGTGCGCTTGCCAGACAGAGACAAAGAGACAGAAAGCGAGAAATCACCCCCCGGGGGGATGGTCACGCTGCAATCCATTCTCCTCTTGGGATCTTGGGCACGCACGCACACGTGACCGGTGTGAGTTTTAAGCCACCGGGTCCGGGACGCGAACCGCGGTCGACTACGTGGGAGTCCAGCGACATAGCCATTACGCCAACTGCTGGTTCCCCAGGCATGTTTTTTTAAGCTCCTGCTTCCAGGACTCCAACTGCACAGCCAGCCGTGTGGGTAGGTTAGAGATGGCCCCATGGAGGCCCTGAGACGAGCTCTTGCTGTGACTGCCCAAGGGGAACCCACACGCGGTGGGCAAATACCGTTTTCTTCCTCGGTGCCTGAGGAAGACACACAGGGATGATTGTACATTTCCCTCTTATCATTCCTGGTCAATACAAAGACCCAGCCAGACGTTTCATCAACATCCGATTCCCACTGGGAATAAACTGATCCGGCGGTTCGCCCTAACAGGGATGCTCCTGCCATCGCGGTGCACACTGGGCATGCGCGGTGAGGTCACCGCAGACCCAGAGTCACCTGCGAGGGAGACGCCCACGTGGGGAGAAAGCCCGGGAATTCAACCAAAGGCGTGGGTCCTGAGACCTCCCGCTGTGAAACGCTCAGTCCACCGTGATAAAATGACACCTGGCCAGTTGCGGTCGCAGTTGCTCCCCAGCCACCTGCCCGCCCGCAGGTCTTGGGGTGCACTTCTTCCCAAGAGTCTTTCTTTCCTACTCATTCTCTTTCTACCACTTTTATTGTGGCTGTGGCTTGGCTCTGCGCCTAGGGAAGGTCTCTAATTTTAGTGACCTGGCCCCAAAGAATGCAGGACTTTACACAACCCAGCTCAGCACTCCCCGCCTACGACAGAGAGCTAAGAGGTCTATTGAGGGGCACGGCAGCCTGCACATGGCAGTTACACGCGGGGCAAGACCGTCCTCGCAGACAGAGGTGAAGTCCCGTCCACCGAGGCTCCGGCCGAGCGGGCCCGCTCTAACAGTGGACGGCTCTAGGAAGGTGTGGCATGAAACTGTCTCCTGACTTTAAGTGGCTGTCCCAGCATCTGCAATACATAAAATCATGCATTTACTTGTCTTGGCAGGAATCTCTGAAAGGCAAACAGGCGGAATGTTGTCCTCAGCTGTGCGCCAGCAGGAGGCCTGAGCAGCTGCGCCTCTCCCAGTCTGCGTACGCGGCAGCATTCGCGGGGCACGGGGACACTCGGGGCCCGCTAGAACCCAGCCAGTGCTCGCCGCTGCAGTCGCAGGCTCTTACTCCTTTCCGAGAGGACGACACAGCGCATTTCTCGTATCGTGAGGTACACGGTAATGACGGACATCCCCGATGCCAAGGGACCGTCGGCTGCCTGCATATTGAGCCCAGCTTTGGCAAAGACACAGGGTCACACGGATGCCACGGCGGATGAACAAGCACCACGTGCCCACCCCTCCCCACAGCCAGGCCCGCCCCACGCAGCTGCCCTCAGAAGGGGGGAGCCCGTCCCAGATGATGCAGAATTTCTGTGTTTAGTCTGCTGAGCAACACGGACTTCTCTCAAACCTTAGGACTATGCTACACAAATTGCACTTTCTGCATATTTGGAAAGACATGTTCAATTTATTGGTTGGCTATAGGAAAATACATTGTAGAGGAGACCCCGTGTATAAATATAATACTAGTTAGTTACAACCTGACCAAGGAGGCTCCACTGAAAAGAACAGCAAAAGCCCCTGTGACCACCACCTGCAGCGGTGCGTCTCCAGTTGCCCTGAGCCTTCCCGAAGCTGCGAGGCAGGTGTGACATCCTCTGGGTCAGTGAGACGACGTGCCAGCTTCAGTACAGAAACAGTGAACGAGAGTCCACTGCCTCAACACGCCAGTTAGCAAAGCTGTGGAGCCAGAGAGCGAGGTGGACACCCGAGGACCCGCTCGTCGGGGACCGACAGCTACTGAGGGGCTCCGGGAATGCCGTGACGCCAGCCCCCTTCCGCGTGGCTCATGGGGAACTGCTCTAACCGCTTCCCCGTGGGTCACCTTCTATCCATGTGTGACATGACCCCGACACCTTAGAAGTTGCCAGGGAAACTAATTCCGTACGTTTAAATAGTAAAAACTGGAACTCTGAAGTCTGAATGTTATTACTGAAAACCTGGACCTTGGAAGAGCTTTGAAATTTTACTTTCAACATTTAGAAGTGCACCCCACCCGATTTAATGATGTCCACAGATTTCAAAGTGCTAGCTCAACGCTTCCCTGGCTGTCACCAAATCAAACACAAATAAAAGCAAAGCACAGTTTTTTGGAGGTGTTCTCGGCCTATTTTCTGGGATTATTCTGGTTACAACGAACAACTTATTTCTACAGCTTTAGTTTAAATTATGGCATATATTAATTTTGATGGACATTATTTAAATGCTCAAACCACAAATAATTACCACAGATACAATAAGCTATACTTCAAGAGACTCACAAGAAGGGTTGAATGCCTCCAGGTCTCTGACCTCTGGGACAAAAACCCCACTCCAAACTGTGCAAAATGCTCTTCGGTCGGTTCTACCCAGTGAGAACACTAAGCTACGGTATGGCAAGACATTAATCAGTTACAGAATTTTTGGAACAAAATCGACTTTAAAAACATACTAGTTTTTATTGCATTACAGAAAATATGGAATTATAGGAAATTATTCAGGTCACAGGAAATATTTAAAACACAAAACCCTGCTCAACCGAAATACCCCCGTCTATTTTAGGTGACCATTTTGGAGTGAGACCAAAAGCCTCGTCTCCCTCGTGAAGGGTGCAGTTTGAGACTTCCCAGCGACCCTCGGTTGAGTTTATCACCATCTCGGTGCAGTGGAGCTGCTGTCCCAACCGCCCGGCAAACGCGCTGTGCCGAGGACAGGCCCAGACAAGCACCTTCGAGACGCAGCGGCGGACACGGCAGCACTGCCCTGAAACCCAAGCTGTATCAGAGACAGAGCAGATACAGAAGAAAACACGCTGTGCGAAGCTCAGACCTTTGCATCTAACACGTGCACTCGTCCAGCACCTTCCACTAACGAGTACAGGGCACGCGCCCGCCCCTCCAGAAAGCTCTCTGCACCCGTGACCCCACGAGCACATGGCAGGAGGGGCGCCCTCGGCCCAGAGCCACAGCGGCCCCAGCCCTGCCTTGGGACTGCGGAGGAAAATGAACAAACACACCTTTCCCTCCTTCACCAAAAGCCCCAGAGAAAATGCTGCACTGGCTCTACAACAGCAAAACGCATTCTCCACCGAGCTGATCACCAACTGCACGTGCTGCATGTCAGCACGACTTCAAAGGAAAAGATGATAATAAAGACTTCTAAAGAAAAACCAGGGCCAAGACAAAGATTCAAGATGGAAACCTTTTGGAGAATTTTTTTTAAAGGAAAAAAAAAGAATCATGTGTTTAAATAACATGTAATTTTTATTTTTTTTCTTAAAAACAGAGTAAGAAAATTTAAGTGCAGACATTTTTCATAAAATTTTAAGCCATCAAAGTGATTTACTCTCTGTATAAAAATTGCTAGTGACACTCGCCAGTATTTCTCCATGACGCTCACTGGTGACCTTGGGCTTCCCTGCCTGCAGCTGACGCGGACTGCCTGCAGTCGGACCAGCCCCTGCTGAGCTCACCTGATGCTGGAGGGAGGAACGAGGTGGCAAGGACGGACGGACGGACAGACGGATGGACGACAGGTACCTGCCGAGAGGAAGCTGGCTCCCCTGCTCTGCTCCTGGCACCACGGCAAAGCAGGGCACCGCACAACTTAGTCTTGGCTGACGTGTTAAAATAACTTAGTCACTTCACAAATTATTCTAAGACTTGTCTTAGGGACCTGTCTTGAAAAATGTATCTAATTTATACTGTTTCATAAATGAAAAGTCACTTCTTTGAAAAAAGGAATGACTAAAATCGGAGACTGAGGAACCCACGATGATGAGAAGCACTCACACGATAGCAGTGCTCCGGTCACAGACGGCGCCGGGGCGTGCTCCTCCCTGCAGCACTCAGCCGTGGCAGCGGGAAAGGCCACCGCGCAGCATCTTCACAGCCTCCACCCTGTTCCACGGCACTTTAAGAACGCGGAGGAAGGTGCACAGGCTCCTCTGCGTGCAGGGCAGTGCCGGGCGGGGACAGCGGCAGGATGGGGGGTCCTGGAAGGAGCGCAGATGCTGCACCTACGCAGCTGTCCTCCTCTCGCTTAGGGTATCAGAGAGCGCACAGCAACCATTCCACTCAGTCCGTGAACGCCGACAGCCTGCTGTTCGGCTTGTCCACCCTGGAGGGTAGCTACTTTTCATAAAAATTTAGGAATTCACGAATAAGCTGCCTCTGGTCAGAGAAAATGTCCTAAGGTTTAAGCAGATTTAGATTTAAAAATAAAGCAGTACAAAGGGCCCCACTGGCAGTGCAGACCCAGCAGAGAGGGGCCACTGTACCTCTTGACAAGCTGGCCTTTAAAACACGGGAAGCAGGTAAAAGACACGTAGCCTTAGTTTACAGTACAATCATTTCCAAATCTGATTTCTTAATACAAAATTTCATAAATCAGGTACTCTGCGGATCATATACAATCATAAAGGCTAAATTCAAATTCTGTATTTTACAAATAAGTGAAAAAGGAGAGTGAGTGTGGAAGAACGGTCTCTGGATGGCATTACTGGCCGGAAGGAAGGAGTGCTGCAGGTTCTGCGAGAAGAGAGTGTGCCGCTTGGACCCTCTCCTCCTCCAAGGCAGGGGACAGAGAGGACAGCCCCTCGTGAGATGCAGGGCAGGTGCACCCGGCCCTGTCTGTGCACAGGAGGCACCTGGGCTCGGGATTCCTGTCGCTAGCACCCGGCTTTCATACTGTACCCTCGTCAATATTGCCAGTAAGAACGCGGAATCCCTAGTGGCCATACCTCACCCCTAGGTTCAGGCGTTTGCAAGGTCCCAAGTAAGACGAGGCTGTCGGGAAGGTGCTTGACTACCTCCTGCCGGGAAGGTGGACGCCGCCAATGGGGGCAGGAAAGGCAGCAAGAGCTCCAGCTGTGCGAAGAGCGAGAAGTGGTCGGAGGGGATGAGCGGGTGTGGGCAGCCGCTGACCTTGTTCTCCACCAGCCAGTGGTGGTCCAGAGGGCCCAGGATGCCCAGGGTGTTCAGCTGAGGTTTGGAATAGAAGATGTAGTCAATGATACCCTGGAAAACAGGGGGAGAGGAGGCCAGGCCCCGGGTGAGACGGCAGTGACATGGAGCGGTCCACGGCACGCCTCCAGCCACGTCTGAACAGACACTTTGCTGTCAGGAGAGCCAGCACGTCGGCCGAGTGGCTGCCCCTCCAGTGTCTAGCCCAGCAGAGCGAGGACGTGCTCTCGCCAAGTCTTCACGGAGACCGAGTGCCCTCGTGAATCGCCGTCTCCTCCGCAGCTCCGCCCTCCTCCGCGCCTCCGCCGGTGCCGCCCCTGCCCGCTGCCCCACACAAGCTGTTTGTACTCTCACTTCCGGTGGGGAGGAATAGGCGGGGCCCTGCCGTGCCAACCCTTTCCTGCGCCGGGGCCAATGCATGTGCCGCCTTCGCTGGTACTTCTTCCTACTTGGCACCCGGCCAGCTCCATTCACCTTCAGGTGACAGGTCCGAGCGCTGTGGAGACGCTGGACTCCCCGCTCACTCTGACCCCACAACGCTCTCCCCGCTCACTCTGACCCCACAACGCTCTCCCCGCTCACTCTGACCCCCCACAATGCTCTCCCCCCCTC